ATCAGTTAAATCAGCTACTAAGGAAATAAAGATATACAAATGATGAAATTTTTAAAGGGGGAACTTAATGCCAAAGTAGAAAGTAATGCTTATAACAAATAATTTTATTCAAAGCACTATTATTTCTATCAAAATTTCCAACTAAGTATGTCATCTTCTAAATACACACAACAGAAAATCTCAAAGCCTTTTTTCTACTCTCAATAGTTGATAATGCTATATCACTAAGAGAAATTTTTCCCTATATAAATGCTCCTAATGCAAATCTGCTTGTTTTTCCTCGGGGACCTTAATCTACCTGGAATATACAATTATTTAAGGAGGGGTGGATTTTTAGTTTTGAGGTTTATTCCTTTCATGATGTATTTTTACTAACAGCTAAAAGGCAAAGGTTTTATGACAAATACTTATTTGCCATTATTTTAAATTTCATTCATACATTTCAAATAATTTTCTGTTGTTTCATGAAAGTTTAAAAGTTAATAATAAAATTCTTCTCATACATTCTAGGGTTAAATATTTTAACTTCCAAGTAAAAATAAAAGATGTGTGACAATATTCCTATATTTATTAAAAAAGGATTGAAATAGAAAATCTGAAGCTATTGATCCCACTATCAATTACTATGGAGATTTTATCATACTCCTTTAAAGACTTACCGTTCAGAAAGATACTTCTTAGTCAATCTGTTAAATGCATGAGATGACACAAGACATACCAATGTTGTCATACTGTGACGCAATCTCTAATTTATAGGTGATGTAACTACAGTCAGGTTATACAACATTCAAGATCACTACACAGTAAAATCAGCCAGGCAAAGAAGACACTATTTCATATGTTTTATTCCGAGCCTCCCATTTGCTCAATCATATCATGCTGCTCTCTGAACTCACTACTGTGGAACTACTGGTTTTGTCAAGTCAGACTTTAGGAGTTTTTCTACATTACTGAATTTTCCAGCTCCCTGGAGCTTAGCTTCTTAAATACCAAAACCTTAAAAAGTTATTTGATTATTTTAGTAGAAACCTTCCTAGAGATGTGCCATAACATTGGTAACAATGGTAGCTCCTCTGGGCCTGAGGGATGCCAGCACCTCCCTCTTGAGACCGCTGCAGTCAACCAGCCCTTACACCAAGGTAACCTTGTGCAACTGAAAAGCAGTGATCACAAATGCAGACATGTCAAAGGAGATGCAACAGAACTTGGGGGAGTGCGTTATGGAGGCACTAGAGAAATATAACATAAAAAAAAAAGTTTAGCAAGAAATACAACCCCTTCAGCATTGCATCTTGGGAAGGAATATCAGTAGTTTATGTTGTACATGAAATCAAACACTCATCTACTTCTGCCTGGGTCCAGTGGCCATTCTGCTGTTTAAATCTGCTTAAAACCCTGGACTATGCCATACACCCAGTGACTCATTCAAAGAAAGGAATACAAACTCAATTCCAAATGTGAGAGACTGAAATCTTCAGTGTGGCAGAGGGAACATCTCAATCTTCTTCCTCCTCCTCCTCCTCCT